CAACGGGGCACGCAGTGTCCGGGGCACAGACAGGGGGCTCGGAGCGACGGCTGGGCGTGGGTTCGGGAAGGAACACAGCACTCAGAAGGGAGGGGGCAGCGGCTCCCAGGAGGCGGGTGTGGCCGCCTCGGGACCCGGGGGGCGGCAGAGCCTGGCAGCCCGAGCCAGGAGCCCTGCGTATGGAAGAGGTTCAGAAATAGATCTGTGAAGCGGAGAAATCCCCCAAAACGCCCCAGAGAAGGGAAAACGGCCCCCTCCTTGGAAGAGGTGGACCCCCCTGCAGGGAAGCCGGGCTGGGGGCCACGCCGGGAGCAGGCAGGGCAGGACCCCAGCCCCAGTGCGGCGCCGTCGGGCGGGAGAAGGTGGCCTTCGTGCCGCTGCTCCGCGGCCTGGAGCCCTGCGGCCGCTGCTGCATCCTCAGCCACTTTCACCGAGAAAGTGAACTCGGGGATCCTGCAGTTGTCCCCCAAATCGGACAGCGATCTCCCCCCTGGTGAGGGGAAAGCACGGAGCTGCCTGAGAGCAGGGCCTGGGAGTGTGCGCTGTCCCTGGAGCTGTCGGTGGCCGGGGGTGTCCTGGCCAGCAGGCCTGCATCTGGGCCCCGCTGGTGGAAGGACACACCTTCCGTCCACCCCACGTCTGACAGAGGGTCAGAGAGCACGCAGGCAGATCCAGGTCCCCCGGGGACAAGGGTGAACGGATGACACCCCAGCACACACGTAGGCTCTCAAGGAGGGGCCTTCCTTGGAGAAACGCTAAACCTCTGCGCTTGGTCAGCTCCTCCTGTCGGCATTCGGCCTCACCTGACGCCCCCGACAGGCACATCTGGCCTCTCAGTAAAGCCCAGGGTCTCCCTCCCAGACCAGCTGTGTTCGACCACGTCCCACACCTTCCCCGGGCTTCCCTGGTGGCTCAAAGGGTAGAGAATCTGCCTGCAACGCAGGAGACCCAGGTTCGATCCCTGGGTTGGGAAGTTCCCCTGGAGAAGGGAATGGCAACCTATTCCTGTATTCCTGCCTAGAGAGTCCCCAGGACAGAGGAGCCTGGTGGGCTACAGTCCACGGGGTGACAAAGAGCAGGGCACAGCTGAGTGACCAACACACACACACATCATCCCTGGCGTCTCTCCTGGTCCTCCAGCCTTTCTCAGCATGGCAGCCAGACTGCCCGTCCATCAAGTCCCTCCGCTCCCAGCTCTCCATCCCCAGCAAGAGCCTCGCGCTGAGCGCAATCTGCCCACTCCCCACCTTCCACCTGCCCTCCAGCCACAACATTTCTCTCCCTACCCAGATACCTGGGCTCACGCCCGCCTCAGGGCCTTTGCACGTGCGCTGGCAGCCCCATCCCAGGCACTCACATCCCTTACTGCCCCCTCCCCCACTGGCCCATCTAAAAGTGAACCCTTCACCTGCCCCAACAAGTCACAGCTCCTCTCCTTCCCTCCTCAAATTCCTTTCTTCTGAACATGTGCAACCATCAACCATACTTTTAACTTTTCTTGACTATTATCAGATTCTTCTAACCGAGACACAGAATCAGGAGGGAAGCGGTTTGTCTGTTTTGTTCTCTGCTGCGTCCTCAGCACCTAGAAGCTGCCGGGCACAGGGGAGGCCCTGGGAGATACTCGCGGAGTGAACGCAAAGCCAAAGTGTTGGTATTACAGTAATCAGGAAACGATTACCCGACCACTTTGGAAACAGAATCTCTCACTGCGGAGATGACTGTGTAAGGTCTGAAATGGGGTGATATTAAAAAAAAATGATCAAAATAGTCCAAAAACTCCAAGTAGTCATTGGGAAATTCTGCATGATTGTCTTTTAAAGCGTAAACCTTTCCAGACGTGAGCGATATAACAGGCAAGCGACCCTGCCACATCTGGTCAGGAAGCCCTGAACCAATGTGTTACGCAGAGGGGATGTCAGCTGGAGACTTGGCCCACCTGTGTCAGAGTGTGGGAAAAAGCAGAGTGGGACGCCTCAGTCACCCAGAGATAACAACATGCCCAGGAAGCAGCCACCTCCCGCCCCTGGCAGGGGGACAAGGAAGCAAGGACGCGGGCATCAGATCCGGATGCAGAGGAGCGTAAGGTCAAGATGCCAAGGAAAAGGACAGAGGAAGCAAGACAAGTCCCGAGGGCCGCCTCGCCCAGACGGGAGGCCAGGGAGGCGGCCAGTGAGCTCTGAGCCGCCACTGCACACAGAAGTTTACCACCTGACTGGAAACACACACAGTCCACGGACAGACGGCCAAGGCAGCACCAGTGTGTGCAAAGGAAGGGACCGTGCACGCGCTGCACAGACACACTCCCCCCGCAGCTCCCCAGGGGGCTCAGCATCCCGAGTGCACGCGGAGCCTAGGGGGCAGGTCGGGGCCAGGGCTGCCCCGTGCCCTGGAGGTGTCCAGTCCTCCGCTGACAACAGTGGCCAGGATGAGCTCTGGAAACCAGACTTGCTCACAGAACTTTTGAAAGAGACAAGAGGGTCAATCTAACCCAGCCCAGAAATATGCAGTGAGTTTAAACTGAGGGCCTCTGATGGGGAATTACACTGAGAAAACCCACCATCTCAACACAACACACACTTCTGGATGCCTTTTGCATGTATGGTTTGGACATCCAGTCCATCTTTTTCTGCAAACAGTAAATCTGCCTGGAAATAAAGTGAACTCTTCTTTGATGTATTTTACCTAGCAAACAACTTCCTTGGACTAACGAGGACTGAAGGAAGGAAAAGGCCTTCCTGTGGGTGTACAGCACACTCAGGTGGTGCTGGGGCAGCGGCTTGCCTCCAAGCAGAGAACTGAGACCCAGACAGGGGGTTAGTGTCGCCCCTCCTCGGCCCCAGAGGCACTGAGCTGGCCTCGCAGGAGGCCCCCCAGTCAGATGGCAGTCTTCCCGCTGCCTTGACTGTCAGGACACAACCGAGAAGATGGTTCCCACAGCCCATCACGGGCCCTTAGAGAGCGTGCACACTCGACCCTGGTCTTCACCTAACTGCCCCGCACCCCCCACACGTAATGCCCACGTCTGATTCTCCCTTCAGACGCTTAAACGCAGCTGAGATCCCTTCGGCGTCTTGCTTTCTCCCTGGTGACCGACCTCTTCCTGCCTCCCTGTGGGTGGCCCACTCTGCAGAGGCAGTCCGCGCTGACACGTCGGAAACTCAGGACTGACCCAGTGCAGCCTGCACACACAGACGGAGCTGGGAGCGTGCGCGAGCACGGCGGGCGTGGGTGTGCATGGCAGGTGTGTGTGTACATGATGGGAGTCTGTGTGTGCAAGGCAGGCATGTATGTGCATGATGGGAGTGTGTGTGTGCAAGGCAGGTGTGTGTGTGCACTATAGGGGCAGGTGTGTGTGTACATGACGGGAGTGTGTGTGCACGATGGGGCGTGTGTGTGCCCGGTGGGTGTGGGTGTCATGATGGGGGCAGGGGTGTGCGTGATGGGGACGTCTGTGTGCAAGGCAGGTGTGGGTGTGCATGATGGGTGTGTGTGTGTGTGTGCAGGACGGGGGGTGCGTGTATGCATGGGGGTGTGAGTGTGCACAGCAGGTCACGTGCCTCAGTCACCCGCCTTCTGCACAATGTGGGCGTGTGTGTGCACAGTGGGGGTGTGTGTGTGGCGGGTCACGTGCCTCACACTCACCCGCCTTCTGCTCCGTGGAAGGCCGTTTCCTCACCAGGTCCCAAGACAACTGAAGCTGCGCCTTCCTCCCCACGACCTGTGACCCCCGTCAGAAGCCGCTGAGGGTGACAACCGAAGCCACATCCCCGGAGGACTTGCTCCTGCCAGACCCGGAGCACGCGAGCCGACGCGCAGGGAAGGTGGGTGCGCACTGCTGAGCGGCTCCTCTGACGGGGAGACCCGGAGGCCCCGGAGGGCATGAGGGGATGCGGGGAGGGCAGACTCTGGCTAGCTCTCCAGGGCTCTTATTTGCTTACGGCCCTCCCCGTTCTAGAGATGTAAGGCATGGACTAAAGTGCTGTTCCGTCATCTAAGCTTTCCTGATCTGGGCATCCATCTGATACACTGAAAATACAATAATACACACACACACCCAAGCAGCGAGTCAAGGTAAGCTGCTGCCATCTTTGGGATGGCACTAAACCCCCTCCAGAGCAGCCATCAGCCTGAGGCTCCAGGGGCAGGGCCGGCAAACTTGCCAGCCTTGGGAGACTTGCCAAATGATGGTCTGCCAGAAGATGTGTCATGAGAATGAACTAATTACCCAGATAATTCACGCTGAGGCGGGGCTGTCACCAGGGGGGTGGAGAGTATCCCAACACCTCAAGGAGGCGCCCCGAAGGTGCCCCTGGGCTGGGCTTAGAGGGCGGCACCGCCTTCCCAGTGGGGCAGGTGGTCCCGCGTGTGCGGCGGGGAGGGGGCCCAGCCCTCCAGGCTCAACTTCAGCCTCCGCTCGCTCTCCTCCAGCCTCCTCTGCCCGGCCTCCAGGGCCAGCCCGTGGGCCGCGGAGAGGAAACGGGAAGCCACCCAGTCCCGGCGAGCCAGGAAAATCACAAGGCCTGGAGGAGGCGGCTGGGTTCATCAGACCCAAGGCGGACCCACCCCGGCGGCCCCTCCCGGGGAGGGACAGAGGCCGCGTGGCACCGCACACTCCTGCTGTCGGCCGCCGGGGACGGGGGGAGCGGCCCCGTGGGGTGGGGGGCGGGGGCAGACAGGGCGCGCCCCCCGCGGGCCGCTGTCCTTAACTCTTCCCCAACGCTCCCGCAGCCCCTCTGGCCGCGCCTGTCCTGCCTGCCTCGGCCGGCACGCAGACTGCCGCCCGCCCGCCAGTGCTCTTCACGGTCCAGGGACGGGCGGGAGTCTGAGGATCCCCGTCCCGTGCCAGGGGCCGTGGGGTCGCCAATCCGGCTTAACAAGCGCCCCAGCGGGTCCCCCTCGCACTTTATACGAGCCCACTCCTGCCTCCCAGCCCTCGAGGCCCTCGGTTCCCCGAGCCCCCCGACACCCCCAGCCCCCCAGGCCGGGCCCGCGCCCACCTTGGCGCAGCGGCGCCCGCGCCAGCTCTGGCCGGTCCTCTGGGAAGGCGTCGCGGAGGCGCTGCCACAGGCGGCCCAGGTCGGCCAGGCTGCGGTGCAGGTAGAGCACGCTGCGGTCCGACCACTCGGTACGGATCTCGAAGAACTCCTCCTCGTCGCCGCGCCGGCTAACGACGAGCCGGCGGATGCCGTTCACCCAGCAGCCGCGCACGAACATGTTCACGAGCGACGTGCCCTCAAACACCGCCGAGGCCATGCCGCGGGCCGCGCATCCCCGGCCGGCAGGAGCGCGCCCGCCCCGGCCGGGGTCCACCCGCTGCCGGGGTCCGCGCGAAGTCCGTCCGGGGCCGGGGTCCACCCGCGGCGGCGGTCCGTCCCGGGCCGGGAGCTGTCTGCAGCCGGGATCTATCCCGGGCCGAGGTCTGTCCGGGGTCCACCGGCCCCGGATAGACTCCGGCCGCCGGTGGACCCCGGACAGACCTCGGCCCGGGATAGATCCCGGCTGCAGACAGCTCCCGGCCCGGGACGGACCGCCGCCGCGGGTGGACCCCGGCCCCGGACGGACTTCGCGCGGACCCCGGCAGCGGGTGGACCCCGGCCGGGGCGGGCGCGCTCCTGCCGGCCGGGGATGCGCGGCCCGCGGCATGGCCTCGGCGGTGTTTGAGGGCACGTCGCTCGTGAACATGTTCGTGCGCGGCTGCTGGGTGAACGGCATCCGCCGGCTCGTCGTTAGCCGGCGCGGCGACGAGGAGGAGTTCTTCGAGATCCGTACCGAGTGGTCGGACCGCAGCGTGCTCTACCTGCACCGCAGCCTGGCCGACCTGGGCCGCCNTGCCGTCCCCCTCCCCGTGCCGTGAGCCGCCGGCCCGGCCCGGAAGAGACTGGGCCGGGCCTCGGGTGGCGACTGTTCTCGTCTCGTTTCTCGATCCTGGGAAACTCTCGGGTCGGGGGGCTACGCACCCCACCTGACCTGCGGGGGTGGAAGCTGAATTTACGTGCGGCGGGGCGCACCGCTCCGGGAACCCGGCGCCGGGACTGTCTGGCGGGTTCCTGCCGCCCTCACGTCCACCCCGGGCCGGGCCCGAGGCCGAAGCCGCCCGCCCCGCGTCCCCCGCGCATTCCAGTCGCGCCTCTAAAGAAGCTCGGCAGGAACGGTGGGGGCCGAGGGCCGGTTGCCGGTCACATGACGCAACTTGACGGAGGGGCGTGCCCCCCCACACCCCCAGCACACCCTCACAACAATCACCACCTCCGAGCTTTGCTCCGCGGGCTCCAGTGACGCCCGTATCACATCGTCAGCTTTCATCCGAGTTCTCATCCAAGTCTGTCTTTACCGCCCGTTTGCCCTGTGAGCTGGGAAGAGAAGGCGTTTTCCACAGGCTGGCCACCCCCCAAAGTGGCGGCAGCTGGTCCGTGGTGGTGACCGATGGGCTGACCCCCGGGCCTGGTGGCGGAGGGACCGCCTGCCGGGTCTGCAAGAGGGACCAGAGGGTGGAGGTGGTCCCCCCGCCAAAGCCCCACTGAGGCCTCCTCTGCTGTTGGGCTGGGCAGCATCTCTCCCACCTGAGCGCAGGAGCTTTTAGGAAGTCAAGTCATTCAGTCAAGGATGGCTCTTTGCCACCCTATAGGCTGCAGTCCTCCGGGCTCCTCTGTGCGTGGGATTCTCTGGCCAAGAATACTGGAGTGGGGTGCCATTTGTTTCTCCAGGGGATCTTCCAGACCCAGGCATCGAACCTGGGTCTCCCGCATTGCCAGCAGATTCTTTACCCTCCGAGCCACCAGGGAAGCCCAGGAGCTTTTATGCATCCAGCCAGATCTTTCCTGGGAGCAATCAGATCTTGGTTTCCCTGTTGCCTAGGAGACCTAACTTCGTGAGGCAGCCCTTCAGCTGTGCCAGGCACTCTGGTCACTAAAGAGAAGCAAGCATTTTCCTGTCCCCGATGTTTGTTTAAAGAGACCTGGAACTAGAGAGTGAAAATAGCAACTGCCCAGAAGTTACTCATCACTACAGAAATTCTGAGTAAAACACAGTGAGCTGCCACTTTTTAATCCATTGCTTTGATACAGATTTTTAAAAATCTATTAAGAAAAATTATCCAAAAATCTGGAAATGAGACCAGAAAAACAGTGATCCTTTCAATGTCCTATCAAAGGATATTTTTCAAACCCAAGGATTACTTCCTTTTCTAGTTGAATCTACTGTTGTTTGATGCTGCTATTTACTATTAATGAAGGGCATACCAACCTGTAGATTTGTGCACAGAAGAGATGCAAATAATTTTTGTCCCAAAGTAACGTCAAAGGTTATAATGCACTGCTCTGTAAGACACTGACCATTTTTATATCTAGCCTTGCTGTCTTGTTTTAATATAATCTGACTCTACAAATCCATTTCCACAAATGGTCTTTGAATCAGCTTTTTCATCTTATAAATGTCCTCAAAAATTAATGAGGTGAATAAACTTTTGGCACCTGGGCATGCCATATTTGTAGAAAGATTTGAGAGTCGTGTTTAATTTGGAAACTTATGCTTGGGAAAGTCTGACGAGAACGGGAGTCTTTGCCAGGTTATGGAGAAACATGTCGCTTCCTTGAGCACTCATTGGGGGCATCCCATTTGGAAAGGGCTCTCGGAAGGCAATTTGGCGGTTGTTGTTAAAACTGAAGACCATGCCGCACTCGTGATCCGACAGTTCCTCTTTTAGAGTCAATCCGGAGAAACGTTTCCACATGGGCACTGAGAGAAATGTGCAGTGTTTGCCACGGTGAGAAAGCGGAATGAATACCTTCCACCACGTACAGTGGTACGTGCGTGTGGTAGAATGCTATACAGCCACAGAAAGTGCATCGGTCCTAAAAGCAGGACCAGCTGTTGGCTGTTTAGTCGCTCAGTTGTGTCTGACTCTTTGCGACCCCGTGGACTGTCGCCCCCACTCCAGCCCCAGGCTCCTCTCCATGGGATTCTCCAGGCAAGAACACTGGAGTGGGTTGCCATAGCCTCCTCCGGGGGGGCCTTCCCAACTCAGGGATCGAACCTGCACCTCCTGCACTGGGAGGCAGATTCTTTCCTGCTAAGTCACCAGGGGAAGCCCCGGAAACCACATCAGTGGGAAAACTATAGGTGGAAATGACTGACGGGTACAGCCATAAGTGCTATCAATAGTCACGACAGACTTTTTGGCCAACTGAATAAATAGCCAGAGTACGCCCAGTGCTTGACTCTGAAAAGTGGGTGAGGTCCTAGTGAGGTAACAGAAAAAGCCTGGGAAGAAAACCTCACTAGGACCTCATCCCACTTTCCAGAGTCAAGCACTGGTCCAGCCCGGCTGCCAAGTCCAGTGTGACATCTCATGGCTCACCTGAGCCCTCGGCCTGGATTTGCCTTTCCAGGTATCAAGTGAAAGTCCCTCTGTCGTGTCCGACTCTTTGCCACCCCATGAACTATACAGTCCATGGAATTCTCCAGGCTAGAATACTGGAGTGCATAGCCGTTTCCTTCTCCAGGGAGTCTTCCCAACCCAGGGATCGAACCCAGGTCTCCCGCATTGCAGGCGGATTCTTTACTTTCTGAATCACCAAGGAAGCTCAAGAATTGAACACAAAAATATAAGAAGCCCATGTCTGTGAGGCCAGCTGGGTGGTAAGGGCAGAAAGTGCGCTGTCAGGCCTCCGAGGACCTGTGTTATATAAACGTCAGGAACGGGCTCAGAGGAGGCGGGGTGGTTCAGGTTGTGAATCAGGCTGATTGGGTGGCTGGGCGCCTGGGGCCCCATAATACACGTGAAGCAGGAACAAAGAGGCGCTCTCTGGGTCACCTGTTGGGCTGCCAAGGCAGCTAGAATTGCACAGGTGTGTCTGAGGAGCCCCGCTTGTAGGCAAGCGCTTAGGAAACCAGACACTTTAATCTGATTCTTAAGAGGGAAAAATGGGAGTAAAAGACTGCGTGAAATTCAAGGCCTTTACTCTTGAGGGGATGATCGTTTCTCTGTTTATTTTTCTTCGGTGGTGGTTTTGTTTCGGTTTAGATTATTTTGTTAAGCTCTATCCTTTCCCAAACCCTGGCAGTTAAGAAAAGAAAGAGCAAAGGTTGGTGGTCACTCCAGGCCACCCTCCATGTCCCTCCGGCCTGCGTCAGACGGCACGGTGGGACCTGGGGGCTCCAGCCAGGAAGTGAGACGGGGTCGGGGAGGCCCTCCTGTCCCCACCCTCGGGGGTGGGGAGGGTGCCTGCCCCAGGAGGTGAGGAGACTGGGGTGAAACGCCCCGAGGAGGAGCTGAAGTGCCCCCCAAACGCAGGGCTGCCCCTACCCAGGCCTCCCGGCTAATCACACAACTTCCTCTGGCTGCGGTCCAGCCGCACCAACTTCCTCCCCGGCTCCCGTCACCCCCATGGGGGCCGTGAGTACTGGGCTCACAGGCCGGGCGGGCTTTCCCTCCACACTGCGCCCCCCACCCCAGGACTGCCGATGCCTGCACACTTCAGACCAGAGCTTCTCAAGCCCTGATGGGCCTGTGACTCCCCTGGGAGCTTGTGAAAGAGCAGATCCCAGTTTCATGGGCGGGGCCGGAGGGTCTGCATTTCTGTCAAGTCCCCAGGAGGTCCCAGAGACCCTTCTCTGCAGGCAGCTCTGAATAGCAAGGCTGATCTTAGCCTCGGCCAGACCAAAAGAGTCTAGACAGTGTCAGGAGACCCGGATGTATCCTCTCTGGGTGTCCTCCTCATCTCCTGACTGTAAATAAGTGTTAATTACATTTTCCTGTCTGGAATTTCATCCCCATGAAGACGGGGACTGTAACTGTCTCCTGCATATCTATCTCTCCAATGCCTGACCCAGGGCCTGGCACGTGATACATGCTGAGTACCTGCTGAATGAATAAAGTGAGCAAGGGGAGCAGATGCCTGAGCCATCACTGTCCTTCCCACCAAAGTGATCCATCCCCAACCCCCAAAGAGAGACATTTGGAGTGTTTTCTAATCTTATCACTCTAATCTTATCCTCAAACCCAGATCTTCCAGGAGATCCAAATCCCAGGCATAGAACCATCTAGAAGGGATTCACAGAGATCATCTCTCAGGAACAGGGTTACAGAGTTTATTTTCCTTTGTGCGTTTTTCATATCTTCCAAATTTAGTGCAGAAGGCGAGCGTTAGCCCTGCCTGCCCCCCGGTGGCAGCCTCTTCCCTTCCTCTGAGTCCAAGAGAGAAACTCTGTTACTTGCCCCCTCTGTGTCCTTCCTTTGGACTCTCCAGAGCATC